GACTTATGCCCTCCCTCCCACATCTTAAAAGAGCACTGTTAGTGTAACCAGGACTCAGAGGCCACTTTGACTAAAAGCACTGACTCCTCAAGTGGGCCTGCAGATGCTCAATGCCTCCCTTTTGCTTCTCCCCCTCCCTTTTGCATCTGTCTCTTTTGTGCGGAGCCATTCTTTTCTGCAGTCACCTGGGATTCCAGGAACAACAGGTCTGACAGGTTAAGCATCTAGTGACAAGAGTAGACTCTAGTTGAGTTAAGGATAGCTATACAGAGAGATTCCTACTATTGCTTTCCTGTACCCATGTGTTACGACCATGTTGATTCAACTCTAACTGATCTTTACATTGGTTCCTGATCCCCTGCTCATGATAACCTGTCATTTTAAAGTTTCTGTATTAGTTCCTCTGCAGTAGGGACATCAAACTCTTTGGTGTTTTGGTTTTCTACCTATTCCTATATCTTCCCTTGTCATGTGATCCAATTCCAACCACATTGCTGCACTTGCCCTAGATCTAAAGTCCGAATATGAGGGAGAACATAGGATTTTTGGTCTCTTGGGCCAGGCTAACCTCACTCAGAATGATGTTCTCCAGTTCCATCCATTTACCTGCAAATGATAAGATTTCATTTTTCTTCATGGCTGCATAAAATTCCATTGTGTATAGATACCACATTTTCTTAATCCATTCGTCAGTGGTGGGGCATCTTGGCTGTTTCTATAACTTGGCTATTGTGAATAGTGCTGCAATAAACATGGGTGTGCAGGTGCCTCTGGAGTAACTGTGTCACAGTCTTTTGGGTATATCCCCAAGAGTGGTATTGCTGGATCAAATGGTAGATAAATGTTTAGCTTTTTAAGTAGCCTCCATATTTTTTCCCAGAGTGGTTGTACTAGTCTACATTCCCACCAACAGTGTAAGAGGGTTCCTTTTTTCCCGCATCCTGCCAACACCTGTTGATTATGTCTTTTCTTCAACAAAATCAGTGATAAAGGCAGAAGAGGACCTGCCTGGAACTGAGGGAGGGTGGAAGGGGAGGGGAGGGGAGCAGGGTGGAGAAATGACCCAAACAATGTATGCACATGTGAATAAATGAACAAAAAAAAGCAAACAAAAATAAAATAAAAATAAATAAATTTTAAAAGAAGAGTAGACGCTACTCCCCCCACCCCTGCCCCAGAGCTATTTGACTCCGTCCACTTCAGTCCCTTCTCTGTATAGTCCAGGAACCCATGTCAGCATCCCGGAAGACAGGGCTAGGACACTGGTTCTTCCTCTTCCCTGCAGGGCAATTAGTGACTCAAGTTCCTTTCCCATTTTTCACAGTGACTTTTCCATTTGGTTTCCAGTGAGTGGCTGGAGTGATATGCTGAGACTCCCAGTTCAGGCTTCTGGCCTAGAATTTCCCTCTGTTCCTAGTTCTCCCTCTGGGAATCATGGTAACTTTTTTTCTGGCTATCACTTGTAAGGGCTCAATAAATCCTGAGTCCCTAGAGTTCCCTAGAGTTAACCTGAGTCCCTAGAGTTCTGGTTTAACACTGCTCTGAGGAGACCCTCAGCAAGAGGCTCCTTCAGTCCCTCACATCATCTTCTGGACACCTCGGGGTGTCCTGAGGCCACAAGAAGCCAAGAAAGGTAAGAGGGAGAAGGCAGCTCCCCTCCCGCACAACTGGAATGCTGGCTCCGGCACCGCAGGCCCAGGAGAAATGGCCCAGGCTGTCAGATGGGGCAAGGTTGTTAGTACAGCCCAGCCCTGGCCTGGAGCCTGCTATCTGTGGGTGCATCATGAAGCACCCCGAAACTTACAGTTTAAAAGTCATTGATTGCACCGTGTGAGTCTGTGGGCTGACTGGCTAGTCCTGTTCTGCATGGTTGGTGAGGCAGCAATGGTAGCCAGAGCTGGAGTGTGCAAGAGGGCGTCTCTCAATATCTACAGCCCTGCTGGGACAGCGGGAGCATCTGGGGTTTTCGAGGCAGCCCTCTTTCTCCATCCTTGCAGGCAGGCCATGGGGCCAGCATGGGCTTCCTCACAGCACTGTGGCCCAAGGGCAGTGGAGTCTCAGACATTCATGTCCACCCAGAACTGCCTCAGAATGCAGCCTTACTTGAAATAGGATCTTTTCTGTCTGGCTTCTTTCTTTAGCCTAATTTTTTATAATTCATTTCTCAGTTGTGTACATCAGTCATTTGTTGTTTTTTTTTAATGAGTGTGTGCTATGATAAAAAGTTTGGTTTATGTTGTTTTCATGCCCAGTGCCAGAGTCAACCCCTCCCTCCACCACAGTCCGCTTCCCTCTTCCTTCCCCCAGTTCTAGCCATGGCTGCCAGCACCCAAGATACCTGAAGGAAATGTGCCACCTTAGCCCAGCTTCAATATGACAACAATATGACAAACTGACTTGAAAATACTTGAGTCAGCCAGGTGCAATGGCTCGCGTCTATAGTCCTAGCTACTTGGGAGGCAGAGATCAGGAGGATCTGGGTCTTAAAAACCAGTTTGTGAGACCCTGTCTCAACCAATGGCTGGGCACAGCAGCGTGCACCTGTCGTCCCAGCTACCTGGGGAAGTACAAATAGGAAGATCACAGTCCAGGCGCATCTGGGCATAAAGTGAAACCTTATCCCCAAACAACCAATATAGAAAGGGCTAGGGGCACAGCTCTGGTGGTAGAGCGCCTGCCAAACAAGTGTGAAGCCCTGAGTTCAAACCCCAGTACTGCAAAAAAGCAAAATTGCTGGAGGAAGACACTCTCTTTTCTAATTTGCACCTCGGCCCTGCCTGGCTGGCGGTGGGCATTGGCACCATGATAGCCAGGCAGGGAAGGCAGGGGGTTCTTCACCTCCACAGCCTAAGGCCTTTAAGGGCTGCCTTGGCCTTGACACTGTTGAGCCAGCTGAAATGGGTACATCCGACTCATCCAGGACGGACTGCTCCTGGCTTCGTGAGGAGATGATGAGTCACACCACAGCTGCTTTACTGCTGGTGCCAATGCTGCTGGACTTCAGCTGCCTGGCCCTGCCCAGCAAGACCTGGAGTTCTTACCTAATGTATCCTGAGACTTGGTTCCCTGCAGTCCTTCCAGTTCCCCCAGGGAGGCAGGTGCACCAGGCACCGCCTGTCCTAAGGACACAGAGCACACAGCTGGGGCCCCAGCCACTCTGAGACTGCTCCCAACCTCCATGTCTTCACTGGTACACTGGGCATAATGGCAGATTATCCTCAGTATTGGCGATTCTGTGGCCCAAAAGTGTCCTCGAAAAACCCCTGTGCTGGAAAGTTAATCTCCAAATTCATGAGTTAATGGATTTGGAGGTGAGGACTTTGAAAAGTAATTATGATTAAATGAAGTCATGAGAGTGGGGACCTATGACAGCATTAGCAGTTTTATAAGAAATGGAGGGGCTAGGCCAGGCATGGTGGTACACACCTGTAATCCCAGATACTAGGGAGGCATGGGTAGGAGGATCATGGTCTGAAGTCAGTTCCCAAGCAACAAAAACAAATAAAATAAAAGGGGGACATGGCTCAAGTGGTAGAAGATCTGAGTTCAAATCCCAATACCACCATCCCCCTAAAAAAGAGTGGTTAGGCTTTTGAAGTGGGAGAGCACTTGCTGAACACGCGTGAGGACCTGAGTTTGATCCCCAGCAATGCAAAAATAAATAACCAAATAAAAAGGACCCAAGCTGATGCACACTGGACTTCCAGCTTCCAGAATAGTGAGCAAAACAAACCTCTATTCTTTACAAGTTACCAGCCTGTGTGTCCAGTTACAGCAACAGGAAACAGGACAGCAGGAAGATGGGACGAGGTCATGGGTGAAGCCCTGAGTACAGTGCCCGACCAGTCGCCAGTGAACGTCTCCTCTAGCTCAGCAGGGTTCTGGCAGGCACTCCAGCAGCAGCTCTAGTTTACAGGCGGCAGAACTGTGGGTGAAGATACACTTGCCTTCTCCCTTAGCTCGTTTGTGCTGCCACAGTTGAGCATCCTTAATCAGAAAACTCAAAATCCAAACTGCTCCAAAATCAGGAGCACTTGATCCTGTCAAAAAATACAGGCGCAGCCAGGTGCCAGTGGCTCATACCTATAATCCTAGCTATCTGGGAGGCAGAGATTGGGAGGATTGTGGGTTCGAGGCCAGCCTGGACAAATAGTTCCCAAGACCCCATCTCAACCAATAGCTGGGCGCAGTGGTGTGTGCTTGTCCTTCCAGCTATGCCTGAGGCTGAGATGGGAGGATCACAGTTCCAGGCCAGCCTGGGCAAAAAGTTCTGTCTCAACAGAAAAGGCTGGTGTGGTAGCACGTGCCTGTCATCCCAGGTACAGCAGGAAGAATAAAATGGGAGGATAGAGTTCCAGGCAGGCCTGGGCAAAAAGTGAGACCCTATCTTAAAAATAACCAGAGGTATGGTTCAAGTGGCACAGCATCTACCTAGCAAGTGCAAAGTCCTGAGTTCAAACCCCAGTATCACCAAAAAAAAATGTAGGTACATGAAAAATATTGTATTAAGATTACCTTCAGGCAGTGTGTACAAGGGCACATGGAGCATAACTAAGCTTGTGCTTAGACTCGGGACCCATCCCCCAAACCAGAACATTTGCATATATACAATGTGGTTTCTAAACATGAAATTCACTTATGGATCCTAGACACCTTATACACATCGTCTGAAGGTATGCAAAACTTTAATTTTATACGTGAAACAAAGCTTCAGGTTGTGGAATTTTCCACTTGTGGCATTGTGCTCAAAAGATTTCAGATTTTGGAGCATTTTGGATTTCAGACTTTTGGATTAGGGATACTAATCTATATATTTTTTAAATGCTGTGAGCCAACATTTACTAATTTTTTCCTGAACTGTTTTGGGCAAACAAGAAGTACAGAAAAGATGATGACTATTTTTCAGGCAACCTCCACCCACCTCAGTCAAACCTCAGTCAGTTCAAGCCACAGAGTCACCAGAGATGGGTTGCACTCTGCCCCAAGCCCCACCCTCCGCACATAGCCACTAATCTGAGTCATCATGTCCACGCATTTTTAACACGATTCAACACATATGCAAACATTCACACTTAATATATGATGTTGCTTGGCATGTTTGTAATGTGTCGATTTCTCGTACGTAAATATTCTCTGAAGTTTTTGTGGTGTTATGTAATAATATACATAGCTGGTCATTCTCACAGCTGTAGGAATTAAGTTAAATGAAATAATCCTTGTGCAAATTGGAAGTGTCTGGAATGTGACCAACACTTGCTGCCATTACTACTGCTCGTTGTTAGTTTTTCTAAGACAGGGTCTCACTATGTAGTCCAGGGTGGCCTTGAACTTGTGATCCTCCTGCTTCAGCCTCCTGAGTGCTGGGCTTACAGGTGTGCCCCACCACACCCAGTGGCTTATTATTTTCATTGCTATTATGACCACTCCTGCTAGAAGGGTCAGGGTTCAGGCACAGCAAAAGAGAGTGAGGACATCATTTATAAGAACCGGAACTTTTTCTTTATAAAATATCCACCCTCGGGGTATTTTGTTATAGCTATAGAGAATGATCTAAGATACCCAGGGTCAGCTGTTGCCTAGTGGTGTGCAGAGCTTGTGTTGATGGTCCTGATTTTGTTCATGCCTCTGACAATGATTCTAGGCCTCCGCATCTGACTTGCTCTGGTTCAAGGGATAATGGCAAACGCTGTAATCAGAGACTTGACAAGTGCTTACGCATTGGTGCTTGCCTTCCTCCTGTTTTGGGGCCCCTAGCATCCTGAGAGCAAGCCCAAGCCTAGGAGACCCTAGGAGAAGGGAAGGTGCTCCAGTTGGTGGCATCAAGCACCTGCACGCTCAGCATTTGAGTTCAGACACACCGATGGCCCCCGCTGTGCTAAGCCATTTTGGCCAAAACACCAAACTGCTCAGTTACACCTAACCCTCACTGCCACCCCATGGAATGCTGAGCACAATGAACAAACTCAGGTGGCTGTGACACTGCACAGCTGACACACCCAGATAGTTCATAACTCCACCAAGCACTGGCCAGGATTTGCAGACTTGATTTTATTCCTCGTCAGTTGACCAGAAATCCCTTTCTTCATGAATCAGACACACTGATGGATGTCCAAATTCAGCTGACTAGCAAAGCTCTCACACCTACCGTGAGTGTGTATAGCAGTCCTTGAGCGTTATCAGCTCCAAGGAGTCCCCGGAGGGAGGCGAATGCCCCAAACATCCCCTTCCCTGGGGAACCCCAGGCAACGCATAGGTAGATGTGTAAGTGGTGTCAGCCCCACACTGAGCCCCGCTGGACTCTGCCCTAGCGTTTCTTCCCCTGCTTGCTTCTAACTTGTGTCCTTTTGCTATAACAAGTGCGAGCTGCTACAATGGCTTTCACTAGTGGACTACCTTTCTTCCCTGTGGATCTTTCTAGTGAATTACTCAGCCTGAGGCTGGTCATGGAGACCTCCCACTAGTAACCAGTTAATTTGTACTGAGTGTGTTCCTGGGACCCCCAAACTTGTGGCCTGTGTCTGAAGTGAGGGCAGCCTTGTGGGTTGGTTCCCTCAGTCTTTGCTGACCCCTCAAGACATGGATAATTTTCCTTTTTCATGTCTCACTCTGTAGCTCAGGTTGACCCTGAACTTACAAACTTTGGCCTTAGCCTCCCAAGTGCTGGGGACACAGGTGTGCACCACCATGCCTGGCTCGAGAGCTCTTTTAATTTCAGCATACATGCCAGTTCTGTGTTTTACAGTCTAGTTGTTTTTAGAGTCTCATATGGGGGAGGCAGGTTTCCATAAAACTTCATCCAGCTTGGACCTCCAAAGGTCATCCCTGGACCTGCATCTCCCAGCATAGCTGGGTCCTCTGTGGGTCCATCAGAGATGACTTCTCTTCTTGCCACAAAGTCGATATCTGACTGTCATCACTCCTGGCCCTCTCCCTTTCTCTGCCCTGGGAGAGTCCTGATGAGCCTTTCCCTCTTGCCCCCACTCCCCCGGCCACCACCCCAAGGCAGTGGTTCATGATTACAGGTCCTAACAGCGTCTGTAAGTTCCAGCATAGTACAAAGCACCTTAAAGGAATCCAGGACATGGCAGGGGGTGGGACAAACTTCCTAGAGCTGCAGGGGCCAAGACTGGAAGAGGAGGCATCTGCCAGGCTGGATCCTGAGCCAGCTCAATCTCACCTGACTGGGTGCTCCAATGTGGGGGGTTGAACCCTCCGGAAGTGACCTTCTTTTCCATCCAAGGTGACTCGGATGCGGCTGTCCTAACTCCCTCAACCCCAGCCAATGTGCAGGTCAGCTGCCCACCAGGCTGTCTGCCCCACCCTGCTCCCCTCCATGGGTTTTATCAAAGTCTCTGCACATTAAACCAATTCCCTCCACATTGCCATCCATTCCATCCATCCTGGGGTTCCCCCCAAACCCACCCTTTGTCCCAGAATTTTGAAAAATCTCTTCACCACCCAGAATCTACCTCATTTGAGTCTCACAACTGCACTGCCTGGGAGGAAAGCCATAGGGCAGGAATTGTAGTCTCCTTGGCAGAAGAGGATACTGAGGCACAGAACAAGGTAGGTATCCAAAGGCACACAGAAGTTGACGGTGGGGCTGGGGAGAGAGCCAGGGCTCCTGGAGACCCAGTCACTGAACTGGAGCCCATTGGTGCTGGAGAGACTTCACTCTCCTACCCTCTCACTGGGGCTGCCAGCTGCAAAAAACCTAATGGACAGTGCTGTGACCAATCAAGTCTGAGAACTGCACCCTTCATGGACTTGCTCTGTGTGACCTTGGGCCTGTCCCTGCTCCCTTGAGCCCCAATGCAGTGGAGATGGGTCTGGGCCCCTTGACCAGGATATTCTGTGACTGTGTAGCTGGTGACTGCATCATCTTTGCTTTGGGGTTTTTGGTGTCCTCCATCAAAATGGAAGAGGGCTTGTAACAGTACTGTAATATGACCACTGTATCTTTCAGTAGCTTCCTACAGTATCACTATAACTCCAGGAGGTAGGCAGTATCACCTCCATTTTATTGATGAGGCAACTGAGGCTGGGAGAAATAAAAATGTGTCTACAGCAGGATCAGAGTCCAGGAGGCCTCCACTCAAAGGGGATGGGGGGAGGGGCTCTTGCTGCTACCGTAAGGTAGAAAAGCTTCTGGACGTCTGCATTAGGAAACAGACTCCACCATGAAAGGTCCATGGCCCCTGAGCCTTCTCTGCAGGACTGATCCCCTCAGCTGCCGCTCCAAAAGCATTATAGGGCATCTTTACAGAGCTGTCCAGCAGGACCCAGCATCCTCCAGCCACTCCCCACTGCTTCAGCCAGCCCCTCATCCTGGGCCCACAAGCAGACACGGCAGCCACTGGAGCCCGTGAGCAGATGCGGGTTTATTATCTAACAGACTCGGCACCTGGAGCTGTCATCCAACGCCAGCCTCAAACCAGCTCTGACAGCCACAGGCTCGTCCCAACACCCAGAGCAATGGTCTCAGCGCCAAGGCCTGGAACCTATCAGCACTGAGCAGCCCCCAGCCACCCCCCTTATTCCCTAGGAGTTCAGCAAAGCCCAAACACAGAGGCCAAGCATGCCCACCTTGCTGGGATGAAGAACGTCTGCAGGGTACTCTCTGCAGGCACACGGGCCAGGGTTCCAGCCAAGCTGCCAGGCCCAGAAGAGCTGGAAACAGGAAGTGTGAAGCTGGAGGGGAAGGTTCCTAAGGACTGACAGCAGGGGGGTGGGGTGGGGGTGGGGAGCTGACTGCAAATACCCAGATCCCTGAGCTGCCCTGGGGGGAGGCCTGGCCCCCATGCCCAAAGCCCCAAGGTCCAGAGAAACAAGGCAGAATAGCAGTGGCTCCCTCCAGCTCAGTTTGGATGTCATTGCCACTTGCCTCCTCAGTCAAGGAGGGGTCCGGAAGTCCTTTCCCCCATCCTCCATGAGACCCAGTATGGTACAAACATCTCTAAGTGAGGTAATTACAAGTATTATCTTCTGCCAAGTGAGTCACTGTTGCACAGGCTGCATCCAGCAGGAGCCCAGACTTGCTCCTCTGTTCCTGGGAAACACTTGTCTTCAGCCCCTGCCTGAGAGTCTTCCCCACGGAAATCAGCCTGGGTTTCCAAGGGCTTCCATGCCACGCTCTGCTAAGCCCATTGTGACGTTGGTGGGGGAAGGGGACGAGCCAATTCATAAGGCATCAGCCGCAGCTCGATGGCCCCAGGGCTCCTGCGCAGTGAGGTGGGGCACATCGCCAGCCATAAACGCAACCCCAGCCTCAAGCTCAGACACACTCAAAATCAGGGCCGTTGCAACTGTGTCTCATCCTCCTTTCCAGCCCACCCGGGTCCCCTGCTCAATGGCTTCCCAGCCAAAGGCTCCAATTTTCAGGTCTCCCCTGTCCATTGGTCCAGGAGGGAAGCTCACTGATTGGTGAGAGGAGGCAGAGCTGTGTATGCTGGGATATTCAACTGAGCTTGTCCACTTCCTCCACTGCCCTCCAGGACTGCCAGGGGACAGTGTGTGCTGGGCAGGGCTGCGTGGTTGAGGGTTCGACTGAAGTGGGGGTGGGGAGGGAGGAAGAGGGAGGGATTTAAAATTAATATCCTGCTTAGGTGACTTCTCTCAAAACACACAAAAGCCCAGGGAGGGGGTGGTGAGGGGCAGGCAAGAGAGTGGACAAGGATGGGAACCGGAGCGGATCAGGAGGCTCAGGAGCTATCCAGGTTTGCCCTGCCCCCGGGCAGTGTTCTGGGAGGCTTCTCAGACATTCTCTCCCTCTGGCACCTGAACACCCAGCATGGGCCCACAGGAGGCCCCCTTAAATGTCCATGGTTGCAGATGTGAGCTGGGCCCAGAGCTCCAGGTCTAGTCCTCCTTCGTTATCTGCCTGGCGTTGCAAAAAGATGTGTCCTGTTGTCCTCAGTGGAACTCCTGACTCTGCAGAGAGACAGCAATGGGGTTAGGTGAGGAAGGGAAGAAGTGGCACGCAAAGGCTGAGGCACTAAGGAGAGCACAGGCCTCAGGCCTCAGGCTCACTTTTCTCTGGAGCAAGGTCCTCTCTCCCATCCCCAGGGCAGCCCCATGCCCTTAGCTCTGACTCTCAGCGAAAGTAGACACATCTCTGAGGCCTCCCCTTCCCTCAGGTGTCTGCCTGCTTCTCCTGTTCATGCATGTCATTCCCTCTCTGGCCTACCTGTCCCTCTTTCCTCCGCCCCCATTGTCATCTGACTCACTGCCTTTCATCCTTCAGTCCTGCAGGAAGGGCTTCCAGATCCCCTGTGACACAGGGAACTTCCAGAGCTCAGCATTCACCCCAGGGTCACACCTACCAGGCTAATACTGTCATTGGCTATTAACCCATGACAAAGGACCTTCTCTCTCTCTCTTGGATCCACACTAAGCTACAATCAAAGAAAGGTGTCTTGTGGAGGTGGGCAAGAGACAGGAGCTCTAGTAACCTGGCCAAGCTCAGGACTCAGGTTGTAAGGCAGGTCCTCAGAAGGAAAGTTGCATCTGCCTTGTAGATACTTCACCCCTGAGACCAGTAAGGGCCACTGTCGCCTCCACCAGCCCAACTCCCAGCTCCACCAAGGGGAGAAAACAGAGATGGAGCCTGCTGACTGATGGAGGACATGGGGACCTGCGCAGAGGGAGATGGAGGTGAAGGTCCCAGCAATCTGGGTAACTCAGTCCAGATGTGGAAGAACTGTTTGCTTTACATGACACAGGAGAGGCTCTCCCACAGGGTGAGGTACTAAGGGCTCACTCTCACATCCTAGGGCAGAAGCGAGGCCCTGCCACACACCCAGCTCCCAGCGGAGCTGCTACCTAGTGAACAAATGAGGGAGAGAGTGCGTGGAGCCCCCACTCACATTGGAGTTCTGCAAATGTGGAGCGGGTGGAGTGTGCGTGAGGCGCGTATGTGGGGGAGGGCACAGTCTGCCACACCTGCACTGCAGATGGGGGGGATGTCCAGTACTGAGTAGGCCCCTACTCCTGCTGCCCTGGTGCAGGCAGGTCCTCAGAGTCCCTCTAGCTCCCACTCTCCACGCACCTGTTAAACGAGGGTCAGGTTAGGAGGTGAACGAAGAGGATGGCTAGGCCGATGTTAAGCAGAATCACCATGCAGATGAGGACAGTGTTGGGGACCTGGAGCAACGGAGAAAGACTGCTAAGTACCCAAGGGCTTGTGGACACCCCCACCCAGGTCGCAAAGCTGGGCAGAGTGGGAACTTCTGAAAGGATCATCCTAAGAGCACCCTGTTTCCTTCACTGCCGGATCCGCACCCTGGTGGGCAATCCAGGAGAGCCAGTAGGATTCTTTGGAATAATTAACCCAAGACCCCAGGGTTCAGAAAGGCACTTGAATATGTCCCAAACCACACAGTGGGCAGACTGGAGGTTACCTGCCTGTCCTCTAGACAGAGATCCTTGGTGCCTCAGAACTAGCTTCACTCAATTGCTGAAGTTCCTGGCTCCCAACCCCAAGGATGGAGACATCCAGAACCCAAGACCTGTAGGCCCCGCCCTCCAACCCCAGGAAGCCCTCCCTGCTACCACCATAGCAGATGCTGCTGCTGCCCAGGCCAAATGACCCTGACTCTCAGGTGGCCCCACCACCCGCCGCTCAGGCTCCGGAACGCCCTGACCCCTGAGAACGGCCTCTGTTGATGGGATCCAGGTGCAAAGGTAGCTGCATCCGCGCGACAAGGCTCTGCTTTGATATTTGTAAGCTGAAGTCCTCTGCAGAGCAGGCCAGAGCCTTGGATTCGCCCCCTGCTCTGTCCTGCTTCCACCTCCCTCCAGCGACCCTGAGTCATCTGCACCCGAATCCTCCCTCTCTCGAGGCCATGACCTTGGCCTTCAAGACGCCTCCTTCTGCCAATAGCCTCACCTCTTCCACCTCCACCTCAGCCTCTGCCGCCAGTGCCGCCTCCTTCCGAGCCCTCTTCCTGGCCCCGGCCTTGGTCAGTCCTCTGGCCTCTGTCTTGCGGGCCTTGGCCTTGGGCTCGGCTTTGTGCACGATGGGCTTGGGCTCCATCTTGGCGGGGGGCGCGGGCGCCGGCGCCGGCTCGGGCTCGGGGCCTTGGTGCGCGGGGGCGGTGGCGGGGGACGGGGGCGCGGGGGCGGCCGGGGAGACCGCGGGCTCGGGCTCGGGCTCGTCGTCGAAGGGCGGAGGCGCGGGGGGCCGGGTGCGCACGGCGTAGCTGTGGTAGCCGCTGTACAGTGCCACCTCGGGCTCCTGCGGCCGCGCGGGCGGCGCCTGCAGCGCCTCGATGGCCATGCGCTCCGACGCGGGGCGCACGGGGCTGCGGCGGCCCGCGCCCTCGGACGGCGTGACCGGACGGCTGCCCTCGCCGCCGGGCTCCCCGTTCCAGGTCCCCGGGCTCAGAAGGCCATCCTTGGCCGCCCCGGGCCGGGGTCGCTTGGGCTTCGGGGGTGTCCCTGCCGGCGACGGGGGGCCGCCCTCGGGCCGCGGGGTCTCGCGCTCGTGCAGCTGTGGGCTTTCGCGGGGCCGCTCCGGGAGACCCGCGGCGCCCTTGCCCCGCTCCGGGGGCTCCAGCAGGCTCTCCGAGTTCTCCAGGATCTCCTGGAGCAGCCGGCGCTTCTGATATTCCGGACCTGCCGGGGACAACGCGGGAAGACTGGATTTGAACCCCGAGCCGCCGCTGGGTACAGCCGTTTAACCTCCCTAAGTCTCGTTCATTCACTCAACCAGCACTCGGAGCACTGACCAAGGACCAGGCTCCCTACTAGGAAATCATTAACTCGCCTTAATAACCCCATGAGGTCGGCGCTACATGAAACTCCGTTCTACAGATGAAGAAAGAGCCAGAGAGATTAAATCACTTGCCCAATGTCACACAAGGCAGAGGTGATGCTTTTAACTGTGACACTGGTCTCTTTCCAATCCCTTCCTCTTCAGAAAAATGGGCCTAACTTTATCAAGCTCGTGTCGCTCTTCCTGCGACCAGCAGGGGGAAGACCGTGACCAGAAGAGACATCTTCCCAGGGCAGCAGTCATGCCTCTTCACCTAGTGTCACTTTGGTCCCCTGCTGCCGCAAGAACAATGTTTAGAACACACTTATCATGTCTCACCTTAAAAGCCTCCAGCGCATTTAACACATTAATACAAACCAGTCTTTGGGTTTGATGCAAAGTGGAGTCTGTGTGCCCCATGGGAGGCCTCCTTCCCTCTGCAGCCTCCTTCCTTCCACCACCACCTGTTTTACCATCTAGCTTCCCATGTGCCACTGTCTTTGCACCTGCGGCCCCTCCTCTTGATCCTCCGGCCCACCCTGCACTACCTGGTGCAGTATTCTCAAGAGAGGTTCCAGACTAGCAGCATGGGCACCTCAGAGCATCTCTAGTCCTTGTTAGAACCCATTCATGGGTTCCACCTGACCTCCTCAATCAGGAACTCGGGGGTGAGCCCAGCAGTCAATGCCAAGTTTGAGCCCCACCGACCTGCTTTGGCCTTCAAGATTTGGCTGAAATGGCCTCTCCTAAGGACAGCCTCTCCTAACACTGCCCAAGGCCTCGATGGGTTAAATGCTTCCTGTGAGCCACAGGTCCTGTTATAACCACTTACCTGTGTGAAGTTTAATCATCATAGTGAGACAGTAGCCTTAGCCACTGAGCACTTACTGTGGCCTTTACGGAGATTTCGTCCATGCACAAATGTAAGCACTAGTCTTACGCCCATGTCACAGATCAGGAAGTTGAGGCTTGCCTTGTACAAGATCTCACAGCTAAACCAGGCAGTGCTAGCTCATGCCTATAATTCTAGCTACTTGGAAGGCTGAGGTCAGGATGATCGTGGTTCCTGGCCAGCCTGGACAGGGAGTTCAAGAGATCCCATCTAAACCAATAGCTGGGCGGCACGCCTGAACTCCAGAACTGCATCCAGGAGGCTGAGATCAGGAGGATTGTGATTCCACGACACCCCAGGCAAAAAAAAAGTTTGTGAGACCCCCATCTCAACAACAAAAAAAGCTAGGCTTGGTGGTGTACACCGTCATCCCAGCAACAGCTGGTAGTTTAAAAAAGGGAGATCACGGTACAGGCCAGCCCAGGCAAAAAGCAAAACCCTTTATCTCCAAAATAACCGGAGTAAAAAGGGCTGGAGGCATGGCTCAAGTGGTAGAGTGCATGCCTTGCAAGCACTAAATGCTGGGTTCAGACACCAATACCGCCAAAAGAAAACCACAGCTGGTAAGCAGTGGGGTCAGGATTTGAATGCATGCCTTACCCCATACTCTGCTGTCTTTCTGATTCTCTGTTCCATCCAGATTCTGGCCCCAGAGTGTGTCCTCAGAGCCTGACGTGTAGGCAGTGCCTGATTAATCCTCTACAACTGTCAAGTGGGTGCAGCAAGCCTTTTGGCTTGGGTGGCCCCGCCCACAGCTGGGAGCCTCAGCTACCCTCGGCACAGTCTCAGCATGAAGACAGAGATGTGTCTCCCCCACAGCCCTTTGCATCATCTCATCCCTTGTTTGTACCACACCCCAGTTTCCCAAACTCAAGCACTCACGAGTCCATTTAGATGGCTCCATTTTCCAGCACGCAAAGAAAAGTGTCCACCCCAGGGCTGTCCACCCACATCCTGGCTGGCCCTACCTGGTTGATAGAAGTCCGGAGCCAGCTCCCTGGCCAACGTGCGAGCAATGTTAGACTCCTGGTTGGCAGCCAGGGCAGCCTGTTCTGATGCCTCAGCTTTGGCCTTGGCATGGCTTGTCCTGAGGAGACAACACAGAGGGAGACTTAGGACCCACCAGAAAATCAGCTCTTTGCCCTTCCTCCCCACTCGGAATGTCGATGACTATTTGTCCAGCCCTGTGGCCCATACTTGTGCATTCCCTAGGCCATTTTCTCTATTTTTTTGGCAAACAGATGGACTACATTTCCCAGTCTCCCTTGCAGCTGGGTGTGGTCAGGTGACTGGCCAATGCATTGTGGGAAGACCTGAGGGATGCCATATCAAGGTCTGGTCCATAAAACCATTTTCCATGTTGAAAAAGGTCCCAGGACAGGCACCTCTTTTATGGTGGAATCCGTGGACCCTTTCTCAGAACAATGCATTCAAATGCCTAAAGTACACAGGGATTACGAAGGTCAGCTCTTACGCTGACACACTGTTACCAAACTATTGAAAAGAACAAATCTGTATTGTGACAATGTATGTCCTTCTGTATTAACACATTACACAAAATACCTATGAAGTCTGCTAATTACCACAATTTAAAAGCATAAATTAGCATAGAAGATAGTTCAGGATGCCTGCGACAAAGCAACGTGACATGAACGTATGTGATTTCTATCAGTGACAAAGTAAAGTCCAGATATTGCTAATGCCACTATGGTTTATTGCCTACTCCATAATTAAAGAAAATGCTAAATTTCAGTAGAGGTTAGTAAAAAAATAAAGATAGGTTTTTTTTCCCAGCTGTTGTAGACCCTTTTGGTGCCCTGTCCAGATCCCTTTGTTGGGTGAATGGACCTAACCTCTAACTGCTGTGTTGGCTGCTAAGGCCCAGTGCCACCCTAGAGAATTGCAACCAACAGAGACACTTTGTTCCAGAAGTTAAAGTGCCATTCCCTCCACCCCGATCCGGGAAGCCCACATCAAAGACTGGTTGACACTGCCCAGCCCCCTCTTACTCCAAGAGCACCCCACTGCAACCACAGGGTGCAGCTCCCGCTCCAGCTAAGACCACACCCTTGCTCAGCTCCTTCCTGGTCCTGCCCTACCTTCCTTCTCATTCCCGCCCCCCAGCATGACAGCATTCCCTCAACACACTACCTGCTCAAGAAATGTGTTGAGCAGGGCTCGGTGGCTCATGGCTGTAATCCTAGCTACTTGGAAGGCTGAAATCTGGAGGACCACTGTTCCAGGCTGGCCCCTGCAAAAAAGTCCACAAGACCCCATCTCAACCAGTACCTGTGCACAGTGCTGCACACCGTCATCCCAGCTACACGGGGAGGCACAAATAGGAGGCTCGAGCTCCAGGCTGGCCCAGGCACACAGCAACACCCTCAAAAATAACAAGTGTAATAAAGGCTGGCAAAGTGGCTCAAGTGGTAGTGCACCTGCCCAGCAAGTGCAAAGTCCTGAGTTCAAACTTCAGTACCGCCTCCCCACCCCCCAAAAAAACCCCATCTCAGGTCCTGTTTCCAAGGACTGTACCTTAACACACTGTTCAAGTTCATGGGCCCCCCTGAATTCTCTCCACAGAGCCCTCAGTGGGCTCCAAGTTAAGAAATGTGGGAGAAGGAACCTGAGTCATTTCATGATTGCATGGAGCAAAGACCCCTGGCCACAGTCCCACACTGGAATGTGACAAGAGCAAACTTTAACCATTCATCATGTTAAGCACCTGAGATTGGAGAGATGTTTGTTTCAGTGTCAGTGTCAGTGTCAGACTAGCCCAGCAGTACAATACCTACCTCAATAATGACAGCCCCACTTACCAATGGGCCAGGCAAGGCTCTAAAAGAATTATGAAGATTATCTCAAATAGCCATCATAACATTTTAGAAAGCTCAGTTTATACCGTTTTACATAGAAGGAAACTGAGGCACACATAGATTGAGTAACATGCTGAGGTCACAAAGTCATGAAATTCAGGAGCCCTGCTCTACAGCATGGTACCCTTGTGGCCAGGAGCTAAGGACCGAGACTTCTATGGACAAGATGGCCCAGCTGCTGCCACTTGGGAGAGGTCACGTTGAGTGTAATTAAGAAGTATTTAAATACAATGGTGAGACATGCCAAGAAGGAAGAGTATGAGTGCAACGGAAACACAGAACACGAAGGTTTCATATAGCTTGTCGATGGAGGTGGGCTGGTCTGGGGATGCTTTCTTGAGGGTAGGACTTATGAGTTGGACTTGAAGAAACACGCCCATTAAGCCCAGCAGAAGTGGGGGAAGTAGAGTGAGCCAGAGAGAAGAGTGAGCACAAAGGCCCTGCAACAGAGTGAGAGGTTTGCATTCTTGGAGAAGTGTAGGGTCAAATCAGAGAGGTCACATCCCTGCAGGGGAGTTAATTCCTTAGGGAGCTTGTTATGGCACACAGGAGGCTATCAGTAAGGGAGGTGAGGTCCTCTAAGCTCTACTGTACATTGGTCCTTTTGTCTAGTTTCTCCTTTTCAATCCTCACAACTCCCATGTGATGCAGATGTCCCCCAGTGGAGAAGTGGGCTCAGAGAGGGATCCTGCTCAAAGATACAAAATAGCAGTTAACACGGGCACTGACTGTGTGCCAAGGCTTTACAGAAACCATCTCATTTAATCCCTAATCACTCCACGTGGTAGATGTCATTCCATCACTCCTCTTTCCAGAGGAAAAATTTAGGCACAGAAAGGTTTTAAAGAACCTACCCAAGTTTGCAAGGCCAGGAAGCCAAAGCACGAAGACTCAAGTCAAGGCCTATGGATGACAGTCCAGGCCTACCCATACACTGGACTTCCAAGCAGTAAGAAAAGTGGAGTCAGATTTCAAACCGTCAACCCTCTGCTTCCCAAGCCTCACCCTCTCCACTAGGCCATGCTGCCTCGCTACTGTTTACTGGTGGAAAGAATGGATGGGTGAGTGCCCACACAAGCACCCCTGTACGCACCCAGGAGGCAGCACAGAGGTGAGATAAGGGCCACCCCTGTGTGCCAATTTTGGCTCTGTGGGCTGCGGTTCAGGTGAGGTAAGTGAGGCACTCAGAAGCATAAATGCTGAGCAATCAAGATAAATCATATTTTAATATTTTTAAAAGTAATAACTAATTCAAATAATGTCACTGACAAGAATGAAGAACATTTTAAATAAATGCTGGATTAGATCTGACTCTTGTGTGCCTCCCTCCCTCACCACACCCCAGTCTCCAACCTGCTGAGACTCTAACACCTTGGGTGTGTGGCTTTCCCTATTGTGCCTCAGTTTCCTCATTTGTAAAGTGGAGACAAGAATTCTCACCTCATGGAGCTGCTGTGAAAATGAAAAAGAGGCAGCACATTGCAAGTGTTTCATCTACACGACGAGGAGGCTACAGCTGATGGAGATGGTGGACGAAGAGGGGGATGACATTTGGGCCATCGAGTTTGAGGGTGGTAGTGTGTCTCCCCAGGCTGTTTGGGCTGCTTGTGGGTATGTGTGAGATAAAATCCTACATTTTCGAGACACTTCACTGGGAACCTGAAACCCCAGGTGGAGGGAGGAGGGAACCACTGGGCAATTCTTCCTGCTGAGAAGATGTCCTTTTTTGGTCATGTGTGCTGAAGGATTCTCATTTTCTAATGCCTTGGCAAACAGGGCTGCAGGACTCCAAGGGCTGGAATGGCAGCCTGCACCCAGACCCTGAAAGATTCTGGGGGACCAGCACAGGGGTGAATATGGGGTGGCCACACAGCCCCAGGCATCAAGGCTGCTGTGCTGGAAGCACCTCTGCCCACCTCCATGACCTGGCTGGGTGGCCCTATGGGCTCTTGTCCCCATGCACTCATCCTGACTTCAGGAGGCTTCCTAACTCCCAGCCTTCAAGCTAAGAATCCCAGTGTTCTCCGTCGCCCTACCTTCCACCCCTTTCAACCTCCACAGCCAGTCAATCACCCACTCCTGTCCCTCTTGCCGAGCACCTCCCACTCCTTCTATCCCCACCCTGCCTACAACCCCCCCAGCCTGAGCCAGCCCAGTGCACACAGGGAGCTCATTCACTTCCTACCCCCAGGGCCTGGCTTCTTGCTTTACACCTTTGCAGGGCCACCTGACATGCTCACAGGAAAGCCCCAGCATCTTTACAAATGCATGGTGTCCAAGGCCCTCCACCAAAGGCAATCTAGTCTGCATCACGTGGCCCCAGGGTGAAGGACAGGCAGAACTGCTGTCACCAAGAGGTCACCGCTTCCAACCTAGTGCCCTCATATGTGGTCCCTGCACACCCTCACCACCCAGGAGGCTTGTCAGAAATGCAAGCTCCAGGTCCCTGCTGCTCTGGACCTACTGACTCAGAATAGCGGGCTGCTTTTAAGTTCTGCAGACACTGCCAGTCAGTCCAGTGGCAGATTGGAGCACCAACTCCATCTTGGCTGTTCCCAGTCTGCTCAGCCCCTTAAATGGTTTTCTTTAAGCACCAAGGTCCTGCTAGGAAAGGCAGATATCGGATATCGGACCACTGCCTACATCCACATCGGGCGGAGGCGGTCTCCTAGGATGGCTCTGAGCTGACTGGGGGAAGGCAGGAGAGCAGTAACTGGGCCAGGAGAAAAACCACTCTTCTTGATGGTCTTCAGACTGTATTTCGTCAACAGGGTTAAAAATAAGGCAAGGTGGTTTTGGGATGGGCCAGGGCAATCACCCAACAGAGCCACTTTGGGGAGCATCCACCTCCCCACCCCCAAGCCCACCTCCATTTCCCACCCCCATCCCTAAGCACCTTGCCACTTGGTTATAGCTGGCCTTATTTCCTAGTATCTCCACCAAGCCTTGATGGCGTTGTGGAGCCAAGGAAGGACTTATCCTGACTCCAGGCTTTAGCTGGGCTGTTCCCTGCCTGGAATGCCTTTCCCCTCCCTCCACATTCCCAGCCTTAAAAGGCCTGCTCAAGACCCACATTTATGCATTACTTCATTCACTTATTACAACTTTAGGAAGCATCTAGCACGTGTCAGGCACCGTTCTGGGCACTGTAGACATGACAACAAATGGAGCATTCCCAAATCCTTCCTAGAACTTGCTTGCTAGCCGGGTT